TTTGGCTTATGATTACAGTTTGGTGATGCCACTTGAACAGAGTTTTCAGATCTTTTCACGTTCGGCCCGTCTTCGCTACATTTCCTGAAAGCTCCGGATTCGGCCTTCCCAGTCCTGTGCCCCAAAGCGGGCGCCAGCGGGCCGAGAGACTGCGGACCACCTGGGCCGACCCCCACTGTATTTCTGGAATGGCCAAGCGAACGGCCAAGCCTGCAATGGCCAGAGGGTCTGTAGGAGCAACTTAGCCGGCCACAGGCAGTGTGCCAGCGAATTGCTGCACATTGGCCGGCCGAGAGAGAAAAGGACCGATGGATCCCGATGGGTTTGAGGCTGTCCATACCTTTCACAAGGCCTTTCACAGTCCTTTCACAGTGAGAAACAGTGTTGCCATTGGATTGATCAAAGCGACATGGACGTTTGAACGATGGTTCCGTCGATCTGACGATCGCTCCAAAGAGAAAACCTCACGATTCAATGATCAAAGTGGTCGAACCTAGCACTTGGCACCCTGAATTTTGAAGCTTGAACTACCCATTTGTCTTCCTCCGGAGGTCCGTTAGAGCCAGTTAGTAACGATCTCGGCTTTGTTGGGCCTTCCTGTGTTTCAAACAGCCGAGGCCGGCGCCTGGGTGCTCAAGTGTCTTGCGAGCCATCGAGGAAAGCCCCTTTCGGAAGCCAAGGAGATGGCTTGTTAGGCAGTTTGGGCAATGCCCCGGACTCAGTTCAGTTTTTGAAGCCGATTGCACTCAGTTTAGTTGCTGTTAGACCATGGTGACCACCCCCGTGAGGGGGCAAGGGGCCATTCCACCGTTTTAATCTTGTTGACGTCACAAAACTCAAGTTCCTTTCTCCCAAAGAGGCACTCAAAACCTCCAAAAACCACCCTCCAAAACGACCGAACACCGCCGAAGGCCCCGCCTTCGCCCCTCTACGCGGGACCGGGGTCCGGGCGTTTCGCCCACTTAGACCGGACCAAGACGGAGCCCACGAGACCGGACGTGTGCCACGGTGCTCAGCTGCCTGGACCTCGGTTTGGCTGGATCAAAGATCGTTTATAAGTGTGTTGGTTTTATGTGTGCTATGTCACTTTGTAGCTCAAAAACTGCGGATTGGAGGTCAGCTGTTGACATGACAGCAACATCTCCACTTTTGAGATGTTCAAAAAAATGTGGTCGTCATCAGAGATGCAGGAGTTTGAGACCTATCAAACTTGCATCAAGAACTCGATAATTGTGTGATTTCCGAGGCTCGAAATCACGTTGATTGACTTCGACTTTTAGTTTTTGGCCCTCCGTAGACCAACGAAGTGGCCATGCCGAGTGCAATGAAGATGCGTTTGATCTGGACATTCCTGGCGTTTACCGGTACCTCTGCAGTGAAGATGCACGCAACTTCCTGCGAGAACCAGTCGCTCTGGGACATGGAAGGGGTAAGCCATGTGGCCGCAGCTGCTTTTGAGCAGCAGCTCATCAGTTTAAACGTCCAGAAGGCATTGAGCAACGCTAGGTCTGAACTGGACCTTGAAGCCCAGGATCATCTGAAACTCACAGCCCATGGTCTGAACAAGATCTTGTTGCAAGCCTCCGGCATCCGACCCACCTTGTCCGGGGCGTTCGGGTCTGCCAAGGCACAATTCGCTTGAGGCAATGGACAAGGATGACAAAGCGGACTTGCAGGGTGAAGCCTTTGGCGCGACCGTGAATTTGCTGAGCTCCTGGGCTATGACCGGAAAGCCGCCCAGTGTGGCAGAGATTGCGACTGCGAGCTTTGGGATTGCAACGATGGCCATCGGCATGTTCAATCCAGTCTTGGGGGCGGTTGCAGGCAGTCAACGGTGGGTTTTGAGCTTGATGGTTTAAACTGTTTAAACAAGTATTTCAGACCTGTTTCCGGAGTGCAAATTTCAGACCTCAAGGTGTGATTATGTCTTATATATTGTTACTATTTATGGGTTTTAAAACACGTTTTAAAGAGAATTTGGGACAGAAAGAATTGCAGGCATGGTCTTCAGCCTGATTGGTGGTGCGCTCTTCCCGGACAATGAGGATCCTCCTATGGTCAAGATGTACAAACAGATCATGGAGGAGGTAGGAACCATGATGAGTTCAGCCCAAATGGAAGAAGAAGTTGCCGATCACAAGGCGGAGCTTGGAGCAGTCATGGATGAATTGCAGTGGATGCCTGCTATGTTGGGTGGAACAAGCACCATTGACGAGGCAAAGAAGGGAAAGTTTCCTGAAGACGCAGAAAGGACACTTCTGACCTACAACATCATGATCCAGCACGACATTGCGAAAACGTCCTACAAGATCCAAACCAGCTCCTTCGGCAAGGCCGAATCAAGCCGTGCCACTGACCGCTGGTCTGCAGCAATGCTTCCCTTGGCACAGGAGCTCATTTTGCTGCAGACCAACCTGATCTTCAACATCGGCGTCCACGTGAAGAACAGCGGTGCTGCAGCGCAACGTGCCCTGGATTTGCTGACGGACTGGCAGATGTGGATTGACAACAATCTGGCCAAGGCCGAAGAAGGCAACAGGCTCCTCTCATGGCAGGTAGTGAAGTGGGATAAAAAAACTCCATCAACATTGGCACCACAACCGATGGGCCTGGGAACCCCTGGGCACTTGTCAAATCAGTGGGATGGATGCTTGTAAAGAGCAAAAATGCCCCCAGATGGGCAAGGTGATTGGTTGTGGATCGGACTGGAAGTGCCCAGGCAAACATTTTTGCGGTGAAGACGAGGTTTATGATTTCTACTGGCGTTTTGTAGCTCCCAAAATCCGGAAGATCAAGACCTTTGTGAACGATATGATTGTGGGACTCGAGAACCCGGTGGGGAAGTTCACCTTGAAGGGTAAGGCGCAGGATACGCTGGTTGGCATGCGCCAGATGCCAGGAGCTTGGCAGATCTGTGCCGAGAAGTGCCTTTCAGAGTCGAAGGGCAAATATTTTGCCTTCAACCCGGGAAAATCATGCTCCGGGTACAATTCGAACGCAGGCGACTGCCAGTTGCACACTCAGCCTGACCACACCACCTACAAACGCAAGTGAGTGACAAGCATGGCTGGATATCGCCGGGCGATATTTTGCCCACCATGGCATGTAGCCAACGCCTCTGGCAGGCGAGACACAAAAGTTGCGGCTTCCTTTGTGGAAACAGCTGTGAACAAAAGACCAAGGCCCAGATCCACACCCATTTGACCCCCTGTTTCGACGGTGAAAAGAGCAGATGACCTCGGTGGTGGGTGGACCTCGAGGTCGTAGACCACCTCCTTTCGGCTGGTCAGCGCGGTGCTCGGCAGGGGTTCCGGTCGCGGTGCTGTGCGAAGATGTGCAGATTGACCACACTGTGGTCCTTTTTGGAGCGAAGTGGGACCGTTGTTCGTGACACGATGTTGGTTTTGCCACGCCCATTTCGTGGGACTTTCAGACTACCGACTCACTTGTGACTTCAGTGGTCATCGCAGCACTTCACCATCTGTACCAGTTCCCGTGTTAGAGAGGTGGATGTTAGACCTGGCAAGCGTGTCAGGTGCGTCCAGTGTCACCAGATCGAGCATGGTTTGACAGCAAACACTTCGAAACTTTAATCCTTTGCTGAGGGCATTTCAACCAAATGACACGTACCCTGAGGAATACACCCGCCAATCACATGAAGAACTTCACCAAAAAACACATTCCCCAGAACCCTTTGCTTGTCGTTACTTTTCTCAAGAGAAACATAGCATATTCAGTATGATCTCCTTATAGTGGCACTTCTTTGTACAGGAATCCACACTTGTCGATACTATTCTTTAAGCAAATTGACCTCTTCCTTTTTGCAAAACTCTTCTTGAACCTCTTTACTTTTCTCTTGAGAATGCTGTTTCTAGCTTGCGCAGCCCTCAACCCGACGCAAGCATGCAGAGGCTGGACGTTGACAGTTTCGTTACGCCCGAGACCCAACAAACATCACGCGCCAGCCTTAGAAGTGATCCAAGCGACATGGACGACCATCAAACGATCATTCCGTCGATCCGACGATCGCTCCGAAAACCTCACGACGCCTCGGCCCGGGGCAAGCGAGCGAGCGAGCGATGGTCCGTTTCCGTTCGATCTGTCGGGCCGAGCGAAGCCGAAGCCGAAGCCGAAGCCGAAGCTTCGATCTGGCCGGGCAAATCTTGGGCCACGCGCACGAGCTTTGAAGGCTCGGCTCGCTGTTTGTTTTGATCTCGTGATTTGAAACATCTAGTGTTTCTACTAGCGAACATTGTTCCTAGTAAGGCCAGGAGCCCCTAGTAGCGTCCTTTGCTAATTCCATGGTTCCTCGGACGGGTTCGGGTTGGAAACAGTGAGAGCACTCGTCACCCCCACGCAGCATCACGGGTGGCTGGGTGTCGGATCCTGAGCAGAGAAGGATTTCTGCGGTTTGGTTTAGATGAAGAGGCAGACATGTTGCAGACGTTGGAAGATCTATATAGTATATAATATAAATATATGAATATATCCCTTCCGGTTTTTGGACGAATCGATTCGTCGATGGGTCTCACAGAACGGCATCGACCACCAAGGTCCGGTCGAACGGATCCAAGCGCCGCATCTCCACGCGCTGCTTCTGCGCTGCCGGAAGCATGTTTCTGTGAGGTGCGAGCTGGCGAGCTGGCGGGAAGGGTCAGGCGGGGCATGGAGATGAGATGTGAAGCGGAAAAACCATGCCTATTAACCTATGGCGTGTTTCTATTTTGTTGCCTTTCTCCTGACATTCATTGCCTGACCATAATCCTCCAGACCCTTTGTTCTCAGACGAGGGGATCCGATGATCTGATGAGCGCCGCGGCTTGCAGCAATCTAACGGAAAGTGTGTCATTTTGGGTTCTTTTCCCATAATTAGGTGCTTGATAATTGCTTTTAGAATGGGTGGATTGCTTATTTGTGCGGCATGTGAGTCTTGCTTGGTAGCGTGTTTGCTCAAAGAAACCGTTTGTGAAACTGGGCTTCGACCACCCATTTGATCCACCATGGCCAATCAAGGAGAGGTTGAGATGGATTCACAGAAGCAAATCCGAGAGCTCACCTTGCAGGTCGCTGCCCTTCAGGCCCAGTTGGGCCAGGGCCAGGGGCAGTGGCAGTTGACTGGGCCACCTGTGCAGGTTCAGGAAGTTCGTGAAAGCCAGCCGGTGCGGGTTCAACATGAAGTGACTCTGGGTGCGTCCGCGGACTCAGCCCCTGACCGTGGTGACTGGACGTGCTTCGCTCTCGGATGGTGTTTCTGTATCACGGTGGCTTTCTGCCCTGTGAGCTTTTTCATTTGGTCAACAGCTGCGTGCAACCATTTCTGTCAACAGAAGGAGGTGCAAGACAAGCATCCAGAGAACGGGAAGGTGGCACGTGCATCACTCTTTAGCATGCTAGGGGTTGTAGCTGTATTGTTGCTGCTCGCCTTTGCATCAGCCATTGTACATTCGCTTTAGGATGCTCTCGGTTTGTAGCTTTGGGCCAAGCTGGAAATTGCATGCAGCAGCCAGTGATTTGGAACATTTTGTAATGTATAACCCTTGAAATGAGTACAGATGACCCCAACCCGTCCTGATACTATAACTCATTTCTTTAGTTGCTCCAGCAATGCCAGATTTTGTTTCAATCTTCATCAATCTTCCAATGAGCATTGCTCATGCTCCAGATGCTGTATAGTCTTTTAGTGCTTTTGCGAGTTTTGGCGCTAATTCAATGACCACTTGCAATGACCCTTGGCTTGACATGCTCAGAGTTTGGCCATGTTCAATCGTCAAAGGCCAGCAATCTCCACTTTCGCCCGCCAGAACATGGAAAAAGAACCAAGGAGAACAAAAGCCCACACCCTTCGGCCGCACCGACCACGCCGGTTGCCGAAACGGGGCACCTTTGAAGCGGAGGCTGAATAGAAGATGATTGCATTCATCGAAGCAAGACATGCAGAATGTTTTTTTAAAACATTTTTTACCATTTGATGGATACAATATGATAAATCACAAAAGCCAGCCGATAGGCTAGGATGGAGTTGGGGTGGGCGAACGAAGTGAGTATTAGGGGGTGTGGGGGGTGGTCGCACAGAGTGCAATTTCGGAGGGCGAGCCCAGAGCCTGGTGGGGGAGAGCGAAACAACGGGCAGAAATGGGATTGAACATGTGTAGTATTTGGGGTGTTGTGATGCAAGTGATGTAATTGACAGCAAAGAGTGCATCAATAGCATCATGAGGGGGCTTAGGAGGCAATGTAAGCCGTCTTCTGCCAGAGGTGGGATTAGATTTCATGTCGATGATAGGAAAGAGTGGACAACGGGCCCGAAAAGTGGCTGGACTGCCTCCAGAAAAAGAATATTTGCCTCCGGTGGCCAGTGAAATAGTGTTTGAGCAGGTGTGAATGGGAGGTGTGTGTCTCTTAAGACACTGTTTTCTTTGTGGAAATGATGTGATCTGTGAGGGCAGGAGAGGGAACAGAATGCTGTGGGGAAGGGATTGCAAGAAATGATGTGATCTGTTGAGGGCAGGAGAGGAATGCGGTGGGTTAGCTTTCTAAATCAAATTGGCCAGGCGCAAAAGAACACCCCATATGGGGTGGGAGTTCATGTGGAAGACAGGCATAGCGGAGGAGGACGCGGTAGGAAAACAGGGATTGCAAGAAATCTTGGAGTTGCTGGGTGCCCTTTTTTAATGGTGAAGATGCCTGTCAACCAGACGCTAAAGGGCGCCCCATATGGGGTGGGAGTTCTTGTGGAGAATAGGCATAGTGGGGGAGGATGTGATTGGACAAAAGGTGGGGAGATTATTAGGGAAGCAAGAAGTGCGTTGTAGAGCGGCAAGGGAGATGTGTGCTCCAGAGGCCATTGAAGCGGTCTGGCAGCAGGGGTGGGAGTGTATGTAGTGGAAGACAGGCACAGTGAGGGACTGCAAGAAATCTTTGAGTTGCTTGGGGTGCCCTTTTTCAATGATGAAGACGCCCGTTAACCATATGCAAAAGGGCACCCCATATGGGGTGCGAGTTCATGTGGAGGATAGGCATAGCGGGGGGGAATTCCTATATCTTCTGCTTTCTACTACCCCATCACAGGCCGCTCTTTGCCCGATATGAAACGCTCACTTGATTTTGGTTCTAACTGACGTCGGGGTGCCCCTTTCTCTCTTCCAAACGCCCCTTCATCAACAAGAACAAAAGCACCCCGCCCCACCCCACCTTTGACTGAAGGCCTATCAACGTTTCCCCTGCGCTCTCGCATTCACCCCCGCTGACTAATTCATATCTCCTGACGGAGGCTGGCTTTCGTGCCCTCCCTTCTCAGGTATAGTATGCATGGTCTTTGTGTTTGAGTAGGCAACAAGGGCTTAGACTGCTGGAGAACTACTTTTGGGGGCTCTTCTGCGACTTGATGTGTCATCTCGGAATGAAGGGGGTTAACCACGAAGATCTTGAAATCGAAAAAACACCTCGGATCCCACCGGATCTGTCAGAAAAAAACACGCGCTTGACAAATGTGATCACCGAGCTCGATGAGTGTGTAGCAACGCGTCACACGTGGTCTAGGCGCCATGCGATGTGAAGAGAGGTATGTCCACAGATCGAGAGGTTGGTGCACCCTCCAAGCGGCGGTACGCCGTCAATCTTGCATGAATATCATGAATCTGTGTACCATGGTGTAACCCAATTGGGGATCTCCCCAACTGACGATTCCAATAGATAGACAGTACCGAATTCCAGACCTCGGCTCCAGCGGCCTGCGGCCTGCGGCGATCAGCGGCGAATTCCGATCGTGTTTGGTTCCACAGTGGTCAGGTCCGGTCCTCAGCGTGGTTCATAAACAATGAGTTGTTTCATACATCTGTGCGTTTGACATTTGCGTGCTTTTTGTGGTCAGAACGATGAACCATATATAGAATATCACTATTTGCGCTATATATAGTGTTTATGGGTTTGGGGGGAGAAACCGTTTGGATTCAAATCTTGGATTGTTGGAATTGATGCAACAACTTGAATATATTGTGCCCATTGCACTTCAATAAGTTCACATAGCCTGTATCTTCCTGCTGCTAGTCCAGCGGCCTTGCTTGCCCTTTCATTTCAGACGGCAGCTGGACTGACGGGAAGGCATCTCATTCATCGCTCGCATTTACAGCTCCGCAAGAGAGGTAGTTTGAAACACTTTCAAAACCTACCTATAGGTAGTTCTAGCACCGACTTGAACGATCCCAACTTGATAAATGCTGACACCGCCAAACAGATGAGACATTCGAACGATCGCTCGAGCTGTGCTTTTGTGGCAAGTTCCACAACTGCCACACAAGTTGGTTGAAGTGAAGGTCCTCAGTTGTCCGAACTGCTCTACAGACGACAGCCCAGCCCTGGCAACACCCTCTGTCTCATATGATTCCACCAGCTGTGCACATGTCCCGCAACCCTTCTGCAAGCACATTAGAATCGTCCCCGGAACTGCCCTTGTCCCGCACCAAAAACAGACTCACCATCGCTTTGGAGCAGCTTTTGCTTCGCAACGTTTCACGTCTCGAGTCTCTGAGGTGCACGTCTCTCGCGACACGTGGACCCGGAAGTTCCGATCCCCAAAGCGGACGACGCGCCGCGCGGAGCTGCCGCGGAGCTGCCGCGCCGAAAACGAACGCCGCGCCGCCCTGCGGGTTTCTGGCACGGTCATTTTGTTTGTTGGCGCAGTTCGGTCATTTTGTTTGGAGCATGAGCGGCCGCCTAACTATTTTGGGCTCCAGTGTTCATGGACAGTTGGAGAAAACATGTCAAACAGCAAGAGACATGAGAGCATCTTTTGGCAAATGTCAGATGATCGATTCAAGTTGCATTCATCGCAAATTCACAGCATTGTGCCGTGCTGGAAGGGCTCTTGGCCGAAGTGACCCGCCTGCACATTTGTGCATGGCATGGGTTTTTACTGCATGTTTTACTCATTGCATGCGGTTCTTGACAGAGATGTGTCTTTTCTCGCTTTCACCAAGACAGAATGGGTCAACTTGGATGGAACATTGTGCGGGACTCCTCCAGTTGTTCTCAACTGCTTGCGCTTGGGGGGCGCGATGGGCAGTTGTGAACACACCTGGCAGGACCTGAACTTCTTTTTGGTGATCATCTTCATGATCGAGCAGCTGCCCGGAAATGAACTCTTGCACGACACGTTTCGAAAAGTCGCAGGGATTCCCAGTGGTGGCACCTGCCACAGCTTCATCTGTTGGGGAGGTGGAGCAAGCACTTGGCCATCAGAGAGAAATACTCTTTACTGATCCAACTGCCATCAACCATTGAATGAACCATCACCAACTTTGCAATCCCAGAAGAAAGATCCTTTGTTCTCACTTCCTGAATACGTTCATCATGGTCCATTCATGAAGCCTAAGAAAAGAAAGCACGGAACACCTCGCAACAGGGGATTTGTCCTGTGGTGTGAAAGTTCCAACACACCCACACCCAGCCATTTTTCACGTGTGTCAGGGCAGTGTCCTTCACCCCATTCCAACCATCTAAATCCCTAAACCGCAGTCCTCAAATCCTTCTTCCCTTCCACTGACTCGCATCCGGCATCCGAGATGATCGCCATCATGGTCGCGGTGCTCATGTGGCGCTTATTCGGGGGCCTCTTCTTCGAGTCGTCCCCCGCCGGAGGCGCGGAACCCGCGGTCGACGGTCCCGGGGATCGAAGCAGAAGCGTGCAGGTCCACGGGTGGGTGGCCCCTTGCGGCAGAAGAAGACTGAAGGACAGGAGTCGAAGGAAGGGCGAAGGGGTGGCCGTTTCTCGGAAGAAACAGCGAAAACGGTGTGGATTTCACATCCAGAGGGGTGGCAGTTTTGTTGCCCGTACAGAACGGATTGGTCCGAAGGCCACTGCTTTTCCAGGAGCAGTTGGATTTGTTTGATCCTTCCATGTGTATGTCCTTCTCGGGGTGTGGGGGTAGTGTGGGTGGGGCTGATTTTATGGTGGAAAAGACCTGATCAAAGCTGACAGGAGGAAAGAGTGAAAGCCTGGAATGGGCTGTTTGCGAGATGCAAGGATGGCGAGCTGCCATGGAGGCTGGGGTGCTCCATGGATTTCACCGCGAGCAAGCGTATCTTAGAGATCCTATAGAGGTCCTAGATGCCCCAGCTGAGCAAGGAACCCTCAATAAATAGACTGCCTTCAGTCAAGGCATTTTGTGGCTTTGCTCCAATAAGTTGTTCATGTGTTTTAACTCGTCTCTCAAAATCCAAGGTCTCTGTTGTTGTTGTTGCTTTTAAGCCAGGTTTGCAGGAGGGTCATGAGAGAACCTTTGCCTCACTCCTCTGGGCCGCGCACAGCGCGGCTTCGCATCGCCGCGCGCGATGCCAGCGCTACGTGGAGTCCGGCGGCCAGGACGCCACTTGCGTCGTCGAGTCCCTGCCGGAACCGCTGGCAGATCAGGAGGGACAGATCAGCAGAGACAGGGTTAGTTAGCTAATTCAGGCTTTAAGGCTTATAGTTATAGGGTATTTAGAGATAGACATATAGGGAAGGATTAAACAGAACAGTTTGTGGGCCCTGATCTGTTTGTCGAGATCGTTCTTTTCTTTTTCGCCCACCCAAGTCGTGTAGCGGGGAGGAACCGGCCGGGCCGTTGGTCTCGGACGGGACGTCCTGCGGTGTCGGACGGTCCGGTTTCACACGTTTCGCCGCTTCTGCCGCTCTCTTGATCCGCCTTCCTCTGTGTCGTCGGGCACCGGGTTCCTTCCCCCGGAGGCGCTCTTCGCGGTCTTCGATGGCCATGGCGGATCACAAGTCTCGCACATCGCTTCAAAGGAGTTTCCCAAGGCACCGAGTACCCGTTTTTTGCCTCGGAAGCGACGAAACGCGAAGAAACGCGACCTGTGTCGCCGGTTCGCGAACGGGCCCGGTTTTGGGGTTGGACGGTTGGACGGTTGGATGGTCGAGCGAGTGGCGATGGTTTGAGGCTCCAGTGTCCCAAACCTAGAGGAGGTGCGGAACCTCCAAAAAGGGACTGATAGGAAGTGAATGTTTGGTTCCGAATGATAGGATTCGGTTGGGCACGAAGTGTCGCAGTGTAGCAGCTTGTGACTGAAGGCTTCCGTGAGCTGCTGATATGGCCACGATGATGGTAAAGCCCACTCTGTGAAGCAATGCTCACAGCATCATCCCAACAGCTGAGAAAGAAGAACCATAAAGAACCTATAAGGTGGCCTCCAACCTAATAGCGATGGCCTCCCCTCACTAGCGATGGCCTCCAACCTACTAGCAATGGCCTCCAGCCTGATTTCTCTTAGAAATGTGTATTTTCTGTCTTGTTCGTTCTCTGTGCAGGTGCTTCAAGTGTGTGCCAACAAGTTACAAGACGGCGACAGCACAGAAGCTGAAAAGGAGGACGGAATCGGCATTCCCCCTTTGCAGTGAATATTCATGAATAGCTTGCTGATTTTTGAGTAAGAACACAAGATTTGATTCGCAAGGAGGGTATTAGTAATAGACATAGCTTGACGAAGCTCAACCAACTCATTATCACACCAGTACTTTTCTTCCACACCTGTCCCTGGCAGTCTTTCAAATCTTGCAATAAAGGCTTTTGATTGCAAAGTGCCTCCTCCTCTGGCTTCCACTCCAGTTTCGAGAGTTTCATTTTCCAAACCTATCGTTCTATTGGAATGCACGTCATCTATAGATCCTCTTTGGATCCGACAAAACAACACTGCAGCACTGCTGACGTGCGGAGAACACCCCGGATCCACCGAGGGCGCGACCTCGCGCGCGACTGCTGCGCTGGCCGCTCAGGAGCCCAACACCGAGCTTTTGCCAGGAGAACTCTCGCTGGAGAGCCCCAGAAAAAGTCGCCGGACTCCGCGCGCTCTAAGTTAGAGCGGTCGAGGGGAGATGGAGCGAGAGAGCAGTAGCCGCTGGGTACTTGGGAGGTGAACCGAGGGCAAGACGAACAGTTATCTGTTTACACGCGGGGAACGACGGGCGCCGACGACGGGGGGTCACATGCGGTCTCAACATGAAATGGTGAAACGAACTCCCTGCAAACACGTTGCACGCGACTCTGGTCCTTTGCGCCCAGGCCATGCACCCCTGGCAGCTCTAGCAGTTCCAAACCCAAAGCAGAGGAGAGAAAGTCCGTCTCCCGCATCCCCGAGAATGCCGCCTGGCCTCTCTTGGCCTCGCCTGGCCCCTTCCTCATTTGGTGGCTTTGGTGTTCGGAGAGATTGGATCTTGAAGTGTGTTGGTGTTGAAGAGCCAGAAAATTTCTGCACGTCCTTCTTCCTCGGATTTTCGACTTGCGCGGGCCATGCGGAGGTCAATGAGGCTTCCTTCCCCTCGCGCCCCTGCATATCGGTGGGTCGTTCGTCCATTTCTTCCACGCAGGATGGAAAGGAAGATGACAAGCTGGACCCCAAGACGCCGGCACTTGTGCAGCTGGTGTTCTTGAGAAAGTGGGTGCCTTTTACTCCAAGAGATCACAACAGCGTGTCCATATCTGGCTCGATGAATCTATTATATTGCTTGGTTTCGGCCCCCTTCCAGGCCATTCCAGGCATTTTGTGACGCAACTCTTGTTCAGTGATTTAATCACGCCACCACGCTCGACTGGCTTTCGACTGGACGACCTCACCGACCGACCAAGGTCTACCAACGGTGTTGAGGCGCCTGCGCCGAGTCTCAGCCGAGTCAGCCGAGTCTCCGGTGACGGACGATGGAACATGGCCCGACCGGATGACCGGATGACCGCGTTCAATCCAAAGAGCAAACAGGTGGTGAAGTCCACTGGAATATGTCAGGGAGTGTGTACCAGGAGATCTTTAGGGGTGCCAATTTGGCGGTAAGGTTGTCTACGAACCACCCCGAACAGGGTCCCAAAAACATCGTTGGGGTCTCCTGGTCCGTCGCCGCACGAGAGAGGCCGACATTGCGTTGAAAGCCGCGGGTGGCCTTTGCGGCAAGGCCGAACGAGCGGAGCCACCAGTGATCACCAGTGACATCGAAGCGGGGCAGTGACCAAAAGGTGACTCGAGGGCTGTAATTACCGGTGGGAACCATTTGGTTTGGAATCAAGACGACCTTGATGTCAGTGATATCAGTCGACGAAGCGGCACACATGGATTTTCGCGAAGAGCTTGAGTCAAGACGGCAGAGCCCAGACGCCAGGCTTTGTCCATGAGCATGATTGCAATGGATGCCTTCTTACGGCAGGCAAGGATGGGACCCAAGCCAGGCTTGACATAACAAATGATGGGTATGCAGCTCTGCTGGGGATGTGCATGTCGTTTCTATGGGGGCTTGACTCACAACCATGCAGAGCAAAAAGCAGACAGGACTTCACAACGCTTCTTTTCATCTTCACAAACCAGTGAACAGTCTTCGATGGGACTGTTTCGACTACTTGAATTGATTGGAGCTCTTTTTTTGCTTGGCCATATCGATCGCGCCAGTTGGGGAACAGTGTCAATTCCAAACGGAATGGCCTTCCTTTGTCAAGTGTGGGGCTCAGCTGGCCAGATTCAAGCGTATCAAGAAAATTGCCGTCTTGAAGCAATTAGGCACCCCCAGCCAGGCAGACCGGTGGTTATAGGGAGAAAGAATGAAAAAGACAATGAAGGACACTCTTTTTTGATACCCCTAAGCTGGTGCAAGTCATTTTTGTTCACTGGGAGCTCTTCAATGAACGAGCTGCTTTTTGGCCTTACTATGTTGACCCCCAACATCCATCTTTTCCCTGCGATCCAACTCCGAACCCTCCGAACCTCCGTGGTGGAACAGCGGAACGACGCCCAAGGTCCTTTGGGAATGATGGCGAGACACCTCGAGGCCAAGCCGAGCCGTCGCACACCTCGACACGGGTGGCGGGGTGACGCCTGGACAGGGGTCCCTGTCTGGCGATTTGCGGGATGTAGCCGTTCTGGCTCCAAAAACAAACCATGTGGCATGAGTCCAGATTGCAAATATTACACAATTTATACGTAGTTAATAGCAACCAATTTCATTCTTCATGAGTTCGTTTCATCAAAGTGTTGCTTTTCAATTGTCCTTGGCCAAGTGACAAGTGATGCAAAACAACACAGCGCAGAATTGTTTTGGTTCATTGGATGCAACAGCGACGGCGGTCGATGGCCATGAACTTGCTTGCTTAGCTCTGACGAAGATGGCACGCCAGTTCATCTCCTCAGAGATGTTGCGTCAACAAAAAGTGAACGTATTTTGGAGTCAATCAGACTAGACAGGCTACAAAGATCTCCAGTTGGATCCCTGTTGAAAAGGGAGATCAACAGATTCCTCACGCCAAAGATTTCAACATGTTTTGAGACTATTTTTAATAAACTTTTCAGTCTGAGTGTATCTGAGTGTCATTTACCGTGAGAGATGTAAACATGTTAACGTTGGACGTCTTCCCTCCACGGCCTCAGCGGCCCTCAGGCTTGCTTTCTCTTCTCTCGCGCGTGGCATCGTGGCATCTCCCCTCGGTCGCTTCCTGCACGTCCCCGTCAGAGCCTCAGAGCCGAGGCTCCGCGCGCCGCGTCGACCAGCGCCTTGGAGCTTTGCGTCGAGCGCGTCGACCGCTGAGGCGATGAGATTAGGGCCAAAGAAAGTGTCGCGGCAGCAGATCGGAAAGAACGAAATGGCTGTGGGTTCAACCTGGAGACTCAAAGGAGCAGCATGTAGCTGTTGCGAAAGACAAGACAAGACCTTCCAGGTAGGTCAAGCAAGTTTATTATGGTTTTGACATGTTTTGACCCACTGCCAAATGGTTTTCCAACATGTTTCAATGGAGTTCATGACAAGAATCTATCTTTTGGTGGTTATCAATAGGCCGGTTATCAATAAAGTCTTGTGGTTTGCGAGGAAGGGGTTTCTTTCGTGTCTTTGCCATGGGCCGGCTGAAATTTGGACTGCACAAGTCTGCAGCAAGGCTGCATACAGATGAACCGGTTGTCCACTTTTTGATATCTCCGACCGTCTATCTACGGGAAAAGGAAGACGTCTATCTATTCATGCGACGAAGCTTATTTCAGACACGGCCGACTGGGGTCTTTGTAAAGACGTATTTCGCTGGGGTCTTTCGTTCTGATTTCGCTCCGACTGCAGATGGTTTGGTCCAAGCTGACCCTTCTAAACCGGTGAAAGTCACTGGTAAAAGGGCCGTTGGAATCCTCGGCAAGGTTTTCATCATTGGACTCTTATACTGATACTCATATCACATATCCCTCCCAACAGTCACAGTCTGTCAGTTGAAAAAGAGAACAACCTAAAAAAATAAACAGACATGGTGAAAAGATCATAACAGGTCCAACGTCTAACATCTATTGACCTGCGGAACCAATTTCACGTATCTCCAAGTTATCTTCACCTATCTTGTCTTCATCGTTCTTTTTCCTTCGGCTCTTGGTGCCCAGGCCGCGAAGGCTGCGAAGGGCGCGCCCAAGGGCGCAGCAGAGTCCGCGGTGCCCAGTGGACCAGCTGGAGCTGGCCAGGCCGAAACAGCCAGAGCCACCGTGAGATGGGGAGATGGTGCACTAGGAGGGCATGTGGAGAAAGCATTTGTCATGTGTCTTTCATGAGGTATTATTGCATGTAGGGTGATGAAGTTGACTATAGGAGTTCTGGGTTTCGAATGGGTTTCGAGTCGAGTCTGCATGTCCTTGTGACCAGCAGTGGTTGCAGTCACAGTCACAGCCAGTCTTTGGACTTCCGCGCGGAACCGGAGGGCCCATGGATAAGTGGATGAGGATGTTATTTGTTGCATTTCTGCCGAAGTAATACAACACTATATACAATGACCACGTCATTGTTCTTCTTGTTTTGTTGATGTTCGGTTTTGACCAGTTTTACCAGTCATTGGAGTCGCAGGTCTTCAATATCTTCGCGGAAAGGCCGGATGAAGAGATCAAGCCAGATAGCTGGTCACTGGTCCTTCAAGGATGTTTATTGGTCCAGGCAATGGGGAAGGACGACCAGATGCCTGTGATGAGACCAGGGGGTGTACTTGGCCTAACCAGATTAACAAGACTCCCATTCGCTTCGCTTAAGATGGCGGGCCTCTGGCGATGCTTCGTGTGGCGGGCGGGAGACTCACAGAACTCGCCAAAGTCGTCCGCCCAAGGTATCCGAATTGGCTTTGGAAATTGGAGACGCCTCCCAAGCACTATGGCGACTCTTGGCACTGGAAGCAGGCTGAAATGGACTTGGAATCAAGGCTTTGGCCGTTGGCTGAGGACCTCACTCTCATGTTCGTCCATGGGGTCAATATTGAAGAGGCGCCGTCGTGTTCGTCACCTTCAGTCCCACCGGTCGTGACGCGGTCGCCAGGCGACGCTGAGTGATTACCAGCGCTTCCTGCGGCAGCACCGCAAGATGATTATCAAGATCAACAACTTGCGCTTGAAGCGAAGCAAGAAGAGGCCGGTTTGCTTGGGTTTTTGATCCACCCCCAAACGACTTGGTCTGGACATTTGGATGTTGGGTTCCATTTGGGGAGGCTTCTTGACGTCCAAAGGAGATTGGGGTTCCTGATTCGTCAAGCAGGCTGTTCGCCTGATATGTGGGCATTTCTTCTAAAACCGGGTCCGGTTTTCACTTGACTTGGTCATTGATTCATATATTGATTCCCTCAAGACTGATGAATCGTCCCATATTTCGACTTGTCATGCCGTGATTGATTCCCAACACGTCATCCCATATTCCCACATTCCCTCACTTGTGTCCCATATTCTCATTTTCGACGTGTCTCGATTCCTAACACGTCTTCGAGACGTTTGAGACGTCGACTCCAAACCTGGAGAGGCCTGGTCTAAAGATCAGCTGAAGCCGAAGGGGCCGCGGCCTGCGTGGCCGCTGGAGCCGCTGGAGCCGTGCGTTTCACAGAGGGCGAAACGCGGCTTTCGCCATCGGCAGCCACGTCTTGGTGTGGAAGAAAGAAGTGAGTGCAAGTTGGGGAGTCAAGATTTATTGACTCTTTTATATTTCAACCCCATATAAGATAAGGTTCTATACTAGCTATATACAATCTATGTCTGGAGTGTTTCCGATTGGCGACGGGTGCATTTTGTTTGCAAGTCCTGCCACTTCCGGCGCTGTCTGGAGTGTTTATTCATCAAGAGTCTACATTATGGTTCCTTTTTGAGCATTCTGATTTCTGAGAGATGCCGGCCAACACATGCGGCGGCTCACTCACACGTCCGGCACGTCACAGGCGAACAGCCAAAGGAACGCCTTCAATCTCATCGGTGGGGTGACCCAGTTCTCCACGCGTTTTTGCGGTGCAGCCTGTTTGCCGCAGGAACCGAGAGCGGCGAGTTGGACGACGTTATTTGGAAGCACGTACTACTAATTACCTGGTATAGTTATAACCATATAGCCGAATATAGCTATCATATAGCTGCATTTGGCGAATCATAGCTGCATCACATCGTTGTGTTTACAGCCTTTCCAAGAACTGAACCTTCTTTGAATCTTCTAATATCTTCTAATGAACATCAGAGGGGGTTGATTCACGTCACAAAATCCGGGCACGGCCACCCGTCACGCGCCCGAACTCACGGTGCGCGTGTCGCCAGCGGTCAGGCAGCACGGCCATCGTCGCTTTGGTCGATACAGGCTCCAGGGGAGTGAAGAGGAGAGGCGTGGGTGGACCTTCCGGGTGATGGCTCAACAGTGATGTGTTTTTGACTGTATAACATGTATGTATACAGTTACAGAAGAGTACTGGCTATATTAGACCGGCTCATGAAGTGCGAACAAAAGTGAGATATAGATACCCCAGGCTTCCAACAGATTCAATGGTCTGACTACCGAACAACCATTCTGTTTGCGAACGATCACAACCACAACAACAACAACTACTACTACTGCTGCTGCTACTACAACTACAACTACAACTACAGGTCACTTTTAAAGGTCTTGGAAGGCTAGTGGATATATGTGACATGTGGTTTCCTTTTGGTTGGACTCTTGTGCACCTTCACGCGGTTAAAGACCTCTGAAAGCTCGCAAAGAAACGACTCTTGCACCTGGTCAAGGCCTCAAGCGAAGCGTGACCGTTGCGAACTGCGGAGATTCCAGAGCTGTTCTCTGTCGAAATGGCAAGGCAACGAATGCGACGGCGGAAACGAATCACGTCACTTCTGTGATTCTCACGAGAAAGCGTGTAGTTGTGAAAGAGTCCTGCTTTCGATGACTTTCTCTACGTCTCTCCTTTCTTGAACAAACAGTTAATGCAGTCAGTACCTTCAATACACTATCATGTGCAGCGAGTGCCTTGACAATGCTGACAATTCTGGTATGACGATTTGTTGCTTCAACCTTTCTATGGAGGATTTCCGCAACAAACTTTCCTTCTACCTGACCTGATAATTGATTTTGCACCACAAACCACCAGCAGCAGGCGATCGAGCTCTCTGAGGACTGACTTGATGCTGTGAACGTCACGTCTCCGGTTTGACCCCGAACCCAGTGCTGTGAACATCACGTGGGATTGGTGTTCACGAAATGCACAGCTAAGGTGGATAAAGGATAAAGGGTGATGAAGGCCTTAAGAAGGTCAAATGGTGAAATGTTGGCGAAATGAGCGAATTGAGATAGGAATCTCGACATTTCCCACTAGCTGGAGCTTGTGCTTCGCATTGCTTCGCATGAATCCACAACGAAAAAAGCCTTGAACTCGAGCGCAGGATCACAAACCAGAGCTCGCCAGCGAGGAACAGCGCATCAGGCCGCACGGTGTGCTTTTCGCTTCTGGCGTTGGCATGCGTTGGCTTCGTGCGTTGGCTTAGGACGAAAAGGGACGGCAACACCATTGGAGTGTTTGTTGAACGTGTCCCCACCTTTTTGCGTTTTCCAACATCCTGGGGCACTTCACGGCAGGTACCGAACCATGGACAATCCAAGAGTCCATGGAGCAAGCACCGTTCGATCCAAAAAAACTCTGGACCAGCGCCTTCCCGCTTACTTCGGGCTCCTCCTATGATCATCTCCTCCATTTTCGTCACCGGAACGTCACCGGAACGTGCACACCCTGTGTGCGTGGGTCCATTTGATCGGACCATGACCCCCAAGGCTGGCGGGCGGCTCGGTGAAGTTGATCGGCCCCTGCCATCGCATCGATGGTTGGGGTCTCAACTTGTCCAGAGCCCTGGGCGACTTTCACTACAAGGCGGTCACGACGCTGTGTTTGGGGGAACGGACGGTTTTCCAGGGGGGTCTTGCCATGCTTCGACGCGTGCGAGCAAAGACGAATTGGCTTATAGAATGACATTAGATGACCTCGACACTCAACGTAGATGGACAAAAATCTATGATGACCATCTATGACATATGACCCCTGGTAGATGCTCCATACATGCAAGTCTTCGGGTGGTATGATGTTCAAGACACTGCGACGTGCGACTCGAATTCTGGCTCCATTCTTTCAGCTTTTGCTCGTTGCCAGGCACGTGGAGACTTGAGTGCAGAGGAGCAGAAGGTCATTGCCGTGCCGGAAGAATCTTGGAGCAGAGATGGTTATGGCGGATCATTCCATGGGAGCCGGCAACTCTTTTTTTTCAGCTTCTCAATAATTGGTGAATGGTGAAGACATGGAGCCGCGTGACCTAAATCTTATCTTAAGCCACCTTTCATGGTGATCCGGTGTTTTAAGTGTAGTTCTTCACCAGGAGTCACACAGGCTGGGGTGGTTGTTCGTCCCATACAGTGAGTGGATGTGACAGGGGCACCCCGACTTCCTCCAGTCGTTCGGCACCCCGTCAGACGTGACTCCTGGCCTTTCTGCTGTTGGTCCCACCGCCCTGCACCGCCCAGATCCGGACGGTGCAGCTACATGACGATGACGAGTTCCTCGTGAGGGTCCTCAGCAGATCTCAGCAGACTCAGGGAGTAGAGCTATAGAGTCATAATATAGAGGAATAGATCCGAGTAAATCGGATATTACAGTTCAGAGTTCAGAGGTACCACTAAAAACCTTTGCTGATTTAACATGCCTATAGTTACTAGTCCTGTTCATCCTGCTGTTTCCTGTTTCTTTTGAATCGTCACTTCCAATGATTTGCCCGGTGATTCATGCCCGGTGTGGACAAAAACCTCGCCAGACGGCCCGCCTTGCGGAGGTTTTGGCCTGCGATGGCTGCTTTGAACTTCACACCTCGCAGGCGAAGACGAACGCGAACGCGCTGACACTGCACCGCAAGACACGATGGAGGGGAATTTTTGGGCGGATATGTTGGGCGAACTTGGACGATCTTGATCTTTGTTTTACAAGATGGCACCTAACTGTCGTATCAGTGATATCAGTCGATCTTGTTTTAAGGAATTGTTTTAATTTTCACCATATAGCTGCCACGTCGTGATCTCAGACGTCTCGAGCACATCGACGTTGTTCTTGTTTCTCCACGTCCGTAGATTGGAGGCTCCCAACGCATGACACGTCGCCGTGGCGTTCCGCTTCCGTCGACTTCCACTTCCGCTCCGACGAAGTTCACCGACCAACCGACCGGGTCCGGTAGAAGTCCTCCGCAGAATGTGGTGGACATTGTGAGCGTGGCCTTGAGAGCCGGTTTCGATGTGAAGCAGGTGGGTGCGGTGGAAAGGTCCCGGACCGCTGGGACGGCTGCGCAGCGATCGAGATGCTAGATCCGAGGAGCACAGCTAGGACGGAGGAGTTTCCACTTCTAAGACGATATAAATCATATGCCGTTTTGAATATTATGAACCAAAAATAGATGAAAGCGTTGCTTAGTGTAACCACGAGGCTGTTTTGACAGGTGTTGACCGATTTGTGCGATCTTCGGAATGATTTCATGGCCTTCAACCAGCCTGAGTGTCGACATGTTATTTTCGCGATCTCCAGGCGGCCGAACAGCTGGTCGACCAGAGCTGTAGCCCCAACCTGGTGAAGACCCGAGGGAAAGGCTCGAGCACGGTGGAGGTGGCACGGTGTCGGAGCACGGTGCCGGAGCACCGGGGATGTGGCACTTTCTGGTGGTTCCAACATACTGCGACCGGGGATGGTGAACCAACAATAGACATGGATGACATGGGGTGAGATACATAACATGTTCGCTTGAAGTGAGCGACCCTTTTGGCACATGTTGGCACTGGATGTTTTCTCTCCAAGTCACAGGTGGTTTTATTCGTTCCGAGCCGCTGAAGTGTTCATATCATACCCGAAAACGATGCTGATGTCATGATGTCTGTTGGAGAAAGAAACAGCACGCTCGCAAGGTGGAGACAATTGCAGTGCAATCATCATCAAATTTCGCTGAGAACCTGTGATATATCCATCAACTCTTAGTTTCGCCGCAATCGAATGGCCAGTTGAACGTTTGAATGCAACGTTGAAGTTAGTTACGGCTCACGGCTGGTCATTCGAGCCAGATTCGGCTGCAGCATCGTTGCGAGATTGGCCTAAAGAAGGCCCAGTTAGGCAACTCAACAAATGCGACTTAGAAGTCTGTTCCGCTCAAACTGAGCAGCTGGCAAGTCATGTGGATGTTCGGACTTGTGGATGTACAGCGGCCTTGAGTCGCATCGATTCTTCTTGTTCGCACTGTTGGGGATTTTCCTTCATCCGCAGGGAATCGTACTCAGCAGTTGATGCCACATTCACGTGACCTGTCAGCCACTTTAGGCGAGAATTCCACCTGCTTGTCCGTCAAGGGGAACATCGAAGAAAAAGGCGGCCCAGGGCCGCATGTGCAGCGGATGGGATGACATCGCATGTGCAGCTGTTGGATTATATCAAGACATGTGCTGTTTGATTGTGCTCTCCCCTTTTTTATTAATCAAAGGATACAGACCGATGTCTTTTTCACGCGTGACATCATGTCTCCCATGTTTCGATGTGGATGTGGTGCGAACGGCAACATCTCCGGCTCCAGTGGGGTGGTCGATGTCCGCCATGGGCCGAGCCACGCGCGTGGCGCTGGGTCTTCTCCAAGTGGCCGCCCTGAGCAGGCCGCTTCATTCGGTTTGCCACCGGATGGACGGGGCAAAGTGTGCATGTTTTTTTTTTGCAGTTTATAGAGTGGGTGAGCACCTCTTGCTGAATTCAAAGGAAGCATGTTTTTTTTTAGATGCGACACATCACAAAGTCGGGGTCGGACATCTCCATCCTTCATCAACTCCGACTGTGTGCAGACTTCTTCATGAACTACATACTGACTGTCGGTGAACCAACTCCACCGGGTCCGAGGTGTGTCTTTGGCGCTGACACGTTGGCCTGTGAGGCCACTGGGTCAGAGGCGCGGGCCTTTCGGGTGCATGGGAGGGGCGTGAAGGGCGGTAGGGGGACGTGTTGGAGGCCATCGCTCTAAACGAGCGCTTTCAGGCTTGAACCATCTGAGAGTGTGCGAGAATAGGTCTGGGAGTTTGGGAGTCGTCTTCTTTTTTGAATCAGAACGGTGGATCCACCTGATTGAAGAGGCTGTGTCTTCAGTCCACCTTCCCGTAGTATACCTGCAGTACTGAGAACGGCCGACTGCATGAGGATTGGCCTGCGGTTCACCGACAGCTCCTACGCCTGTTGGATGGACAGGCCCGGGAAATCCTGAAAGGAGTGACTTTAGTCAGTCACTCCCACCTGGGATTTCAAGTTTCTATCATGTTTTGCTTTCATGTTAAATCATATGATTTGCAGTATACTGTACATTGTACCCCCTCATGCCTCATGGATTTGCCATTCACTCCCCTTTCATACAGCAGATTAAATGCGCAGCATCAATCACTCCCCCATTCACGACCGAAGACCATTATATTACGTATAGGGAGAAATGGTCAATCGATACCCCGTCCCACCGCGGCTTCTCGGGTGCGAGGGATTGTTGCGATGACTGGCCCCGGTCCTTCGGTCCTTCGGTCCGTCCGGGTGTCCGGTCACAAGACCGAAGAGCCACGGTCTCGGGCAGCGACGGCAGGTGGGAGCCAACGTGCTGGGGGCCGAACTGGATCGAGTCTCGGAGTCTTTGAGGCCGAGAGGTTTGGGGGTCTTCGGATCGGAGTTGGATTGGAAATACGCGCGCGCGCGTGGGGAACAACGACTGGCAGGGCGGCCCAAAAGGAGAGCGACCAGAACAACCAGAGCAACGAGCACTTGGATTGCCTTCCTGGGCGCATTTCGTTGGATCTCCTCCTGCTGCTTACACATCCAGGTGGGGCCTATGGTTATACATCCAGAAGGGTTCGATGTTGCCTACAGCCCAGGACCATTTGATGGAATTTGGAATGAGTCCTGACGGCATTTAGACTCCATGTGGCTTTCTGTCCATGTTCTTTCTGTCCGTTCGCAACGCAAGAATATCTCGTGAGGTGAGGTGTTTCAAGTCTCCATCAGTGGAGCGGATTTGCTTCTGCTCCTTCGTTTCTTTGGCCTGACGCCCAGGAGGAAGGCCTGTTAGATCTCAATTGGCGTCGTTTCCCTTGGCCCACGGTGGTGCGCAGTGGTTGGCCGGTGTTCCGGTTGTTGCGGCTGCTCCAAAAGCGAGCGCAGGCAGGCTTTTGTGTCTTGTGTTTCGGTGTTCTTTGGGTTTCGGTGCCGGAACACTCTGAACATCGAATACCAAAAGGCACAAGCGGAGGCAGCGGCAGTCCCGGGCTGCGAGGCTTGATGAACGCAAGAAAAGAAACAGAAGAAGACACCGGGTCACCTTGTGTGTGTTTTTTAAAGCCTTTTGCTGAATCTATTTTGCACGTTTTGGTCCTGTCCGAAGGATACCGAGGATTCCTTTGAAGCGACTCTCTTGAAGCATGTACGTCACCAGAAGGTCCACGAGGACAGCTTGCCAGCCATGAGTCATGATGAGTCAAGCTTCCGTCATCCACCGGCACTGACATTCTCCCATGTTATCTTTCTTTGTTTATTCCTTAGTAGTAAGGCCAGGAGCCCCTAGTACCGTCCTTGCTCCTAGTTAGCGATGCCAGGAGCCCCGTTCGTAGCTTCTTGTTCCTACTAGCAAGGCCAGGAGCCCCTAGTAGTCCTTGCTCCTAGTTAGCGATGGGAGCCCTATATAGGGCCTTATTGGTGTGTTTTTTGTTGCTTCTCCCTTCTTTAGCCAAGGCGATCTTGGGCGCCAGCGTGGGTTTTTTGCTGAATCCATCGGACAGCGGGGACCTCACAGATCCGAGTGGAGATCCGGAAAGAGGTCACCGTTCGGAACGGCTCCGACTTGTGACTTGTGCGGAGCATGTGGAGTTCTGTGGACTTGTGTGATGAGTCATGACTCACTCTATAGTCAGTCATCCCAGGATGTCCCCTTTCCACAGCAGCTGCATACTTAGCCAGCGCTTGGGTTGCTCGTTTGCAGTGGAGAAAACCGGCGTGTTGACCTAACAATTCCTGACCTAACTAGCACATGAAAGCGCTGGGTCTCAAGTTTGAGCCAGCCTGAGGTTATCCCCCTCTCGTTGACAGGGCAACAATGGCCAGATTGATGTTTACTTTCAATATATGCACGTTTGTTTCAAAATCCTCTGGTGTATCCCAGCTCAGATCCGAAAAAAAAAAAAAAAAAAAACATTGAACACCAACGGGACAACCGGTCGAGATCAACGGGTCAACCGGTCGTCGGGCTTCAGTCGTCTTCGCCGTCCGTACGGGACCGTCAGGTTCGATTTCCCGTCTACGACGAGGAGACGGAGGAACTGCGTGGAGCGCGGGCCCACTGCGGCGCGTTCCGACGGCGTGGCGGCGGTCGCTTCGGTGAAGCGGCGAGCTTCGCGAAACGCTTTTTGCTTTTCGCTTCGGAACGGTCGTTCTTGAATACAGTGTAGTCTGAGTGACTGATCAGGAGTGCAGAACTGTTAACAATATAGCTTAAGTTAAGTGTTAAAGTTAAAGGAGTTCAAACTGACCTTCTCTTGGACTTTCTTGCATGTCCACGCGCCACCCGATGCGACCGGTGCCCGGAAGCGTCTTCTTTCCAGCGGTCGGTGGGAAGGGAACAGTCGAAGTCACAGCCTGAGCCGTTGGACAGGACATACTTGGTCTAGCAGAAGAAAGTGTACGAAACCTGAGCCCAAATCCCAGTTTGGCAAGTCCGGCACAAAACTGCGCGGGTTGGGTGTTTTTGCAATTAATCTATCGAAGTATCTATCGAATTTGAAATTAAAAAAAAGGCGATGCTTGTCTGGCCTGACTTTGTTCTTATACAACAAAACTTAAAATTGGTGTTTTGATTTCTACACTTCTGACTTCTGCACACTGCACATTGCTACTTCATGCTACTTCTGCCAAATATGCTCAGCTTTGTGGAGCGCTTTGTCTCAGGTTTGGCCAGCATCCTGGTAACAGACCATGGATTGCTGGCTATGCTGGACGACGTGGCAGGCTCCTACCAGGCCAGAAAAACGGCGCGGGAATTGGGTGGTCAATAGACACTCCGAAGGGGGAGGTGGCCCTGGTATGTTGGTGACTCTGAACTAATGACTTGATGCTTGGGACTAGTAAGTGGTTGTCATTTTTCTCCAACTTCATCCAACTTTTCCCGCATGGACATTGAGGCTTTCTTGATCGATTCTGGGGCCTTGTACGTCGCGCTCAGCTCAGAAACGTTCGAGCGTTCCGGTCTTCAACTTGTTGCTCTTCGGGGGTGAGTCGTCGTGGGAGATCACGTGATCCCGAGGACATGAGGCAGCAGGAGGAGATGATGGTCAGACGACATGTCAATTTGTTTGGCGTGGCGGAGAAGAAACACACATACACACTGTGTGTGTTTGGCAGGACGAGAATGTGGTTGACTACACCCGCCACATGATGAGTGCAGCAAGCCGGGCCCACGAGGCTGGCATCCGAAATGTACTGCTGAGGCGAAAGCCACTGCTTTTCCCGGCTTTTGCCGATGTTCCGTCAATCTCCCAAAGGCTAATCTCTAGGGATCCAGTCGTACCTTCTCAGAAGGTCCTTGGACTCTTCTGAGAAGGTACTTGGATCTGTAGGGAATATAGCCTACAACCACCAAATGTATTGTTTGGCCGATGAAGAATGCAGGATGAGAAGCAGTGTGAGCTCCAGGCTCAAACGCCGTTGGTGGCTCAGAAGCGGGTCTTAGAACTGTTCGACCCTGATTTGATGACAATGATGTTGGTGATGATGATGATGATGGTGATGATCATGATCATGATCATGAACATGATGATGATGATCATCATCATCATCATGATTGATTGATATTGATATTGATATTGATATTGATATTGATATTGATTGATTGATTACTAAATGGTTTAATGAGTTTAGTTACTAACCTAGACACTCCATGTATGGAACATATCATTTCATCTGCATCCACACCTTTCCAGTATATCTTCTATGTTTGGGGTTTGGTCCATCAAGGCTCAATGGCGTTTCCCCCCCGTGGTGGCCGACCTCATCCACCCGAGACACCCTCCCGAGGCTGGGCCGCTGCAACGGCTTCGCGGCGCTGGGGAGCGCCTTGTCGCCTTGGAGGTCTCGCGGAGTGGCACAGGAGGACACGGTCCGAGCACTTCAGGCCACCGAGAAGGAGAGGGGACGGGAGACGGCGGGCACGTATACACTCTACGACTCTCCGGTTGGTATCACAGGAGGTTTTTGACGACGTGAGGATACATGGTGCCTGTGAAGAGGTTTTTGGTATACGGAGGCCACAACATGGGGGTTCCGACCGTCAGTGCGTGCAGGATGGCTCCCCACAGGCTTTGCTCTTCCGCTTGGTTGAGCATGATGCGACCAGTGCAGAGCTCCGACTTCTGACAACGGATGAGGCAGGCAGTGTCGGTGGACCGGTCAGAGGCCAGGTAGCTAGCAGGGCGGATCAGATCGTATGGGTTTTTTTCCGGTTCACCCGTGGACGCGGCCGGCTTCTAGGGCCGCAGCCGAAAGGTGATGAGAGACTTTGAGCCGCTCGTGGAGTGCCTGGCGCAGATCTTGGTTCCTATCCTGGCAGCTATGCTTGACATGCCCAGGACAGTCAGCTGATTTCAAGCACAGAAGATCTCACACTTGGAACAACATATAGGCTTTGATACCCCACGGCGTCTTCCGCCCAGATGGTCCTCCCAAGGCGTCTCCTCGTCCAAAAACAGATCTCGGCCTTCCGCAGGCTCGAGTTTGTGGTTGCCCTGGAAGAGATGAAGAAGCCTCAGGCGCCTCTCCTTGCAGGTCGCCGCCAGGAGAGGTCGGCATGGGGCGGCATGGGGCGGGGGGTCACGACTGCCAGTGCCCCCCAGTGGGAGGTTATGTTATGTTATGTTGTGTTTTTTTTTCCCCAGGGCTAAACTGTTAAATAGAGATGCTGTACCAATGTCGTTCAAGTTGTCACTGATGCACTGAAGCGACATATAAAATCAGATGTGACGAAAATGGATGAGATGTGTCAGGCGAAGTGCATGGAAATTCTGTTCCCCGAGTCAGAGTCAGAACCCTCCTAGAAAACTCTTTCAACAGTCTATGGACCGAAGACCTTGAAACTTCAGCCTCGCAGTCCTTTCTCCAACAGACTGCGAGGCTGCACACAACATGACATGTTGGATTCGGCTCCAACTTCAAGCAACTTCAGAGAAATGGAATCAACGGCCTTGTGCTGAGTGAGGTGGTTTCTCTCCTCCACACATCCACATACGACCGAGAGCGCCCAACCGCCCACTCACTTGAATCCCTTTCGATCTGCCTGGGCAGTTTGCCCGACGAACGGAAGGATGTACCACCGCCACTCTTTTGCTTTTGTCAAGGCACAGGACAGAAGATGCCAGAAATTTGCAATTTTGTGCGCACCTGAAAAGAAGCGTGATGTTCTGGTGCTGAAGGTCAGAAGAGAGGTGCCTTCAAAGGAATTCCACTGCCGGCACTTTGTCCTGAATTCCGCCCAACATGCACCCACAAGGCCTTTTCTTTTCTGTGTTTTCGGCAATTGGAAGGGTTTTTCTAGCTGTCAGCGTAGCCTGTTGGCTGAGCTTGAGCGTTTGAAAACGCTCGCTCCCAGGAAGAGGCCATGTCAGAAGAGGCCAGGCAAAGCTGTTTGAGGGGCTGAAGCTGAAGGTTGATGGCATGCCGTTGAACAGGTGTTGTTGGTTCGTATTCGTTGCGCGTTGAACGCAGAGGAGCAGCTTTGCTACATCTTCCGACTGTGCCTCGTTGGCCATGAGACCGACTGAGCCGGTGTTCTGGTTCCGTTCACCGACGTATCTTTTTGTCGCGTGGATACTTCAGGGGTCTTGGGACACCTTGAGTCACCTCTAAGAGGCAAATTACTTAATGCGGCAATATACAGACACCTCTTAGAAGGTCCTGGTTCAGGTTTGCTTGAAGCTCAGGTTGGGATTCATGTCACAATTAAGGTCACGAATTCAGATTTACCGGGGAGAAGAGACCAGAAAAGAAGGGGCTGTGCCCGGTCCGCCTACGGCCGGCAAATGTTTGGAACATCCATCCATCCTCTTGAATCTACGAAGAGTACACCAGTCCTGATGAAAACCCATGGAATCATTACGGAATACCACCAAAAAACCTGCTATATAACTTTCAGTTTTCTCGTGTTCGTCTTACGCGGTGGTCGTCGGATCAGCTGGGACTATACGGGATTTCCCCGGCCGCACGGCCGACGACGCTTCCGCGTCCATCCGCGTGGTCTCAGAGGCTGAGCGGATTTTCGGAGCTGCTGCGCTATGTGCCTCCCGGCCACGCGGCCGAGGAACAGGCCGCCGCACGGGTCCTTGGGTCGCCGCACGGGTGGTTTGGTGTGGTGCTTGAAGGCATCGGCAGAACATGGCACAGAAGAGCACTGATTAGATCTTGCAGCAGATCTCGTGCTGCATTGCTCACGAAATGGGTGGTTGTATTATATACCCTCCAACCGAGTTTCTTTTGGAGCACGATTCGGAAAAATCTTCGGAACTGTCTCTCTGTCAACCACTTCAGTCCGACTGTTAGTGCAGCGAGCTTTGCTGAAAAAGGCTGGTCGCAGCACAGTCGCAGCTAGCTAGTGTTGTCTCCTTCTGCTCCCCTCACACCATCCGAGTTGCTCATCTCTTCTCACCACCAGACGCCGTGCTGTGCACGGCCAGGCATGGACGCTGGATGATCTCAGCGTCACGGCCGGTGCTCGGAGCTCAAGCCGAAAGGAGAAGCGAAAGGAGAAGCGAGACGACAGGACATGAAAACCAACGTACTGTATAAGGCATTTTTTGGAGATGAACAGATGTATGACATGTGAACAAACAGTACAATAGACATCTATCCCTAGGGATCCAAGTACCTTCTCAGAAGGCACTTGGACCCTGAAAACCTACATAAGAGTGTCTCCAATCACCTCCTGAGAAGGTACTTGGATCCCTAGGGTATGATCATCTATTTAAGGGCTGCCGCCCCTGCCGCCGACCCCGGGACTCATCAAGGAGGAGGAGTACTGCAGCTTGCACTCGCCAAAAAGCTATGGTTCAGGTGACTTTCCTTCATGCACCATGGAAGTGAACCTGTTTGTAGACGATGGTCCTCTAAATCCATGTTGGCCATGCCACCCACTTCCAGGATTGTTTCAGGGACAGCAGGAGTGGTTATGGAGCTGTTCTGCAACTTTGGCCCAGACGCTGCGCCAGTCCAAAAAAGGCTGCGACATCTCAGACTTGAGAATTGCAGGCTTCGGTCACAGTGCAAGTGCATATAGCAACATGATGCAACATGCAGGAGTGGCAGCCAGACCAGTGGCAAACGGATAGATTTGCACGGATTTGCAGATTGAGGGCACTATCAAAAACATTCAACCACTACTTATACATACACTCCTGCACGAATCTTTAGGTTCAGGATGTTGCAGGTGTGTTTGTGTAGATAGGAGCCCATATAGGCCATATAAGAATAAACCAAGCATATATGATATGACTCCAATCCAGTTTGGCGAATCATGGGAATCCTAGTCCAGTCCAAGTGGTGGATCATGTCCAGAAGCAATGCCTTCAGGCGGCTTCACTTGTTTCACGCCTCAAAGACGGCGCCCCTCTTGGACGCTTGGGACCTAGATTCAAAGAGTTAAGAGGCACGTTCGCATCCTCAACCTCCACACCGGCTCTTTCCACCGCCCGGTTCCAAGAACTCCAGTCTGGTGGGCCCACGTCTGCGACTTTGCGAGCTGGTGTGCATTGTATGTACCAGCATGTATAGTTCTTTGCGCATTGGTGCTACCCAGTTGGATCCTCATCCAATGGGTTTTAGTGATGTCTAATTTCGGATGCAGCATTCATTGCCGAGATTTGCCAAGCCCATATGGCCATGGGATATAAAGTTTAACAAGAATGTAGAACCTCACTGGAGTGACCAGGAGACTTCCCCAGTTACTGAAACGACTCGGTGGCTCGTGGAGAAAGGACAGAAAAACATACAGCACCCCAACAAATTGAAGCGATGAAGCGGATGAAGAGAGGACCGGTAAGCAACATTCTGCACATGGGCCACTTGGAGAAGACCAGTGCGCAACTGGGTCGGCTATTTTACAGCTTTCGCCATGGCCTGTGTGGCGACTTTGAATGGCTTCTTCCGAGAGGAAGTGCCTTGGCCTTGCATCGAAAAGGGACATAGATTTGGGAGAGCCCGCAACCAGCGAGTGTTAGTCTATTCGTCCTTTTCCCGAGTTCTTTGGTAGGTCTTCCTGCTTTTTTTGCGTAGGTAGCCATAATGGCCTCTTTGCTCATTGCGACATGGCACGGCTGTAGGCTGTTTGTTTTTATAAGCCTTTGATCCGGGAGATACACACGCGTTTGTTTGATCCCTCCCCACATCCATCGCTCTTCACGCATCTTGACCATGTCATGCGTCGATCTTCACCACGGGGAGCGCGTCTACATGGACCCTCATCGACCACATGATGCACGTCTTTTTGACGGTGTACAGTCTACAGTGTACAGCAAAAGGTGGCAACTATAGGCCAATAAAAGGCTTCTTTCACAAGGGAGCGCTGTGACAAACAAGGTGCTGATTGTCATGATGTTTGTCGCGGACACCCAAGCAGCATCAGGAATATCAGTATCAGCTTAACAAAAAGGTGGTTATTCTTTTTTGTATCAGCATCAGTTCCTGCGCTTAACAAAAAGGTGGTTAACGAGACCAGTACACCATCTTTCTCCGCCGACGCTCTTCCGGAGAAAACGGGAAACAAGTGTGCGATGCGTGTCACACTACACGCATCCAGACCGTCCAACGCAAACGCGTCGCCGCCAAGACCCACGCGCGTGTAGCGTCGCTGCGCCAACGAATCCACCGAGAACGCATCCTGCAAGAAATCAAAGACCTCATCGCCAGTCACGTCCACGAACGCAAACGTCTGGCTCCGACGGACTCCGGCGCACAGGAAGCCAACGCCGCAAAGCGCCCCAAACAAAGCACAAGTGTCGTGGCACCACACACATCGTCCATCGAGCCACTGCCGAGCACAGTCCCGCACAGTCGTCGTCAAACAAAACGCCAAGCCACGACAGAGACTCACCCCAAACCAGAATCCAAACAAGGAAAACAAACCACGTCAAGCGCGCAGCCACACGCGCCAACGCATGGCCACGCATTCAATCCGGAGGTGCCCGAGGCGAAGCCAGGGAATCAGGTCAGAGGGGAGCCGACAAGGCTGTATGACTACGTCTGCCCACGCTGCAAATGTCCATGCCGCAGTGGGGTCCAAACTGGCCGAGTCCACCATCGAGGAAAGTGCGGCCACAAATTTCGTGTCTTGGACGGTGCAGTTGCTGGTCGCCAACACGAGCACACTTGTCCACGATGTGGTGCGCGCGTCTTGTCAGCCAAGCCCAATGGACGAATTCAAGTCCAACACCGCACACCCAACGGCAAGGCTTGTTCTTGTCAGGCATGGAATGTTGCAGCATAAAAACATGGCGCGTTCTGTGCCGGACGACCAGACAAAATCGTCATCCCCAATCGAGCCTTGCTTTGTACTCCTGGCGTTTATACTTCTCAATGCGCTCGTAGCCGCACTACTGCAAAAGCACACAACTCGGGGAGGGCCAAACCCCAGAAGCCCCATCGTTGTCGTGGAGGTCGTGGGAACACCTGGTCCCGCCACAGCTTTTCCCAATCTAATTCTGATCCAAAACGAGCCTCCCATGGTCGCACTTTGGGTGCCAAACGCTGCCTCTGAATCCCTAGAAAAAAA